TAAAGAAAAAAATGAAAAAAGTGATCTCAAAAAATATTCCTAAAAATCTCAATTTGGGAAACAGAGGTAAAGTTCAATTGCAAATTTTTATTTTTAGAAATGTTAGAACAATTTAATCAGGTAATCATCAAAATACAAGCCATTTAAAAGTAATGTTACAATTTTTGAACCTCCAAGAATGCCTGTGATGCAACAAGACTGAGAACACTGATTTGGGAAATTTTTCTCCCATCTTCTTCCCTTTCATCACTTGCTTTTGGAATTGCCAAGGCCACAAAAACTAAGGTCCTATACAGTGAAGCCTGGTAAAAGGAAGCTTTGTACAGCCACAGTTTTAATGCAACTGTGGGAGTAATTTCAATGATAAAATATCTTGGAATTAAAAATTCATGTATTGTAAAAACCCACTCTTACCAAGGTCATTTGCTTCCACTACATTTTTTGGAATATTTTTAGTAAAAAGTGAAATATGAACTTTAAAATTTCTAAGTGAAAGGATAAATCACAATGCAAACATGAATAACACATAGATAATTATTTTCCTGAATGAGCCTGTTATCTAAATAAGAGAAAGTATGTCAAGTTAGACCACAGGGAAGACCATGAAGAAGAGTTCATACAGATGGACTTTTGTCTTTGGACTATGTTATTCCAGACTACATGTGTCATTTTAGAAAAGAACACTAATCTTTGATGTGAATTTCTCTAAATAATGGATAGCATTGTAAAATACTTTTAATCAATAATCTTTGATACATCTCAGCCTTAAAACCAACTACTTTAATGATAATGATTGGCAAACCAGTTACATCCTGCTTACATAATATCTATGCTATGTGTTCTTAATAATTTTTATGTCGTGGAATGCTCTGCCTTCTGGTAAAGATTTTGGTCTGCCTTCTAGAATAATGTTTTTGAAAATGGATAAAATAAAGGATATAGGGTAATAAAGAAAATGAAATATAATGAAAAATAGTAATCAGAGTACTGAAAAAAGTTATAATATGCTCCCATGTGCTTTTATATTAATGCATTATATAACAAGATATAGTGGCTGGTATGATCATCACTATAATTTTAAAGTAGTAATGAATGTAAATAGTATTTCACGATATCTTCATGAACTGTAATCTGACATGAAAACTCTGTGAGTGCTATTAGTGACAGTGTTTCAGATACTGCTAATAATATTGTAGTTTGTTGCCTCTGCCCATATTTGAAGAAAATATAAATTTCAGAAAGAGCTTAATGAAAATAAAGATGTAAATTTTTCCCATTCAAATTCCTAGACCCTTTAAAAAATTCCATCACGAGACCATATGGGGACTTGCCACCTTTTTTTTCAGAAACCTGAAAGGTGATTTTAGATAACAGCTTTCCTCTTGGGAAGGTTTAGTCTTATGGATATTACCATACTAGTTTATTAACTCTTTTACTACTGAATGAATATGTTCAGGGGTAGTAGTCAAAACATAAAACAACTGGTTTAGCATAGGCAGCTACCATCAGGACCTATATGGATCCAGGAAGAAATGCCTGGAAAGCCCCTGCCATGCCAGGATTTAACCCCTCTGATGCGGAATTTCTTTACCTACTTATATATAAGTACTTCAACATTTTAGTAACTGTTATAATAAGATGTAACACCAGATGAATGCCAGCCAGCCCTGGATAAGAGTGACATTCAGCAGTTGGGCATATTTAGATGCACAAGTTTTGGACCAGATAGCATTCAGTATCTCACCTGAATGAATGAGAAGTCTAGGAGGGGGTCAGTGGGGAGAATGATGGGAGAATGCTCACGAACAGTGAAGTAAATTGTCTGCTTCTGCCCACTCTTTCTGTGCTAACTCCTCTGAGAGGGTTTCTATTGCTGTGGGACCGGCGATAGCAGAGAGATTTGTAGTGGTCTGTTCCATAAGTGGATGTCCACAGATAACTTGATTAAGAGGTAGCTGAGCTTTCTTATTCTGCAGCCAGAAATTACCTTTCTTTTTTAATTTCAACTTGTATTTTAGATTCATAGGGTACATGTACAAGTTTGTTACAAGGGTATATTGCATGATAGAAAGGTTTGGGCTTCTCTTAATCCCATCACCTGGATGGTGAACACAGTACCCAACAGGAAGTTTTATGGGTCTTTTCCCTCTCCCTCCCTCCATCTGGAGTTGCTAGCATCTCCTGTTCCTGGGTTTAGGTCAGTCATACCCAAGATACAGCTTCCAATTTTATAAGTGAGAACATGTGATAATTTGGTTTTGTTTTTGTGTTAACTTACTTAGGATGGTTGCCTCCAGCTGCATCCATGAGGCTGTAAAGGACATAATTACATGCTTTTTTATGGCTGTGTAGTGTTCCATGGTATACATGTACCACATTTTCTTTATTCAATCCACCATTGATGGGCTCCTAGGTTGATTCCATGTATTTGCCGCTGTGAATAGTGCTGCAATTAACATAGGAGTGTATGTATCTTTTACTTAGAATGATTTATTTTCCTTTGGGCATATACCCAGTAATGGAATTACTGGGTTGAATGGTAGTTCTATTTTTAGTTCTTTGAGGAATCTCCAAACTGCTTTTCATAGTGGCAAAACTAATTTACATTTCCATCAACAATGTCTAAGAGCTCCCTTTTCTCTGCAGCTGCACCAACATCTGTTATTTTTCAACTTTTTAATAATAGTCATTCTGACTGGTGTGAGATGGTATCTCACTACAGATCTGATTTGCATCTCTCTGATGATCAATGATGCTTAGCATTTTTTCATATGTTTGTTGGATACTTGTATGTCTTCTTTTGAGAACTGTCTGTTCATGTCATCTGCCTACTTTTTAATGTTTTTTTTTCCCCTTGATTTAAGTTCCTTATTTGGTTAACAAATCTCTCTGCTATCAGTCCCACAGCAATGGAAACCATCTCAGAGGAGTTAGCACAGAAAGAGTGGGCTCTTCAGAAGTAGACAAGTAGACTTACAGTAAAGTAAGAAGGTTTTACTCTAGGAAAGCTCATTTATTTCACCATAAGTGAGCATTCTCCCATTATGCAAAGTTGGCAAATATTTTCTCCCATTCTGTAGGTTGTCTCCTCTGTTGATAGTTTATTTTGCTGTGCAGAGCCCTTTAATGAGTTCTCGCTTGTCAGTTTTTATGTCTTACAATTGCTTTTGAGGACTTAGTCATAAATTATCTGCCAATGTTGATGTCCAGAAGAGTATTTCCTAGTTTTTTTCCCCAGGATTTTTATAGGTTGAGGTCTTAATTTTAAGTCTTTGATCCATCTTGAGGTAACTTTTGTATATGATGAGAGGTAGGAGTCCAGTTTCATTCTTCTGCATATAGTTAGCCAGTTTTCCCAGCACCATTGAACAGAGGGTCTTTTCCGCATTGCTTATTCTTGTCAGCTTTGTCGAAGGTCAGCTGGTTGCAGGTGTGTGGTCTTCTGAGATTTCTACTCTGTTCCATTGGTCTATGTGTTTGTTTTTCTACCAGTACCACCCTGTTTTGCTTACTGTGGCCTTGTAGTAGAGTTTGAAGTCAAGTAATGTGATGTCTTCAGCTTTGTCCTTTTTGTTTAGGATTGCTTTGGCTATTTGGGCTCTTTTTCATTTCCATATAAATTTTAAAATAGTTTTTTTATAATTCTGTGAAAAATGGAATTGGGAATTTGATAGAAATAGCAGTTTTGAATCTGTAGATTGCTTTGGGCAGTGTGGACATTCTAACGATATTGACTCTTCCAATCCACGAGCCTGGAATGTTTTTCCATTTGTTTTTGTCATCAGTGATTTCTTTCAGCAATGTTTTGTAGTTCTCCCTGTAGAGATCTTTCATCTCCTTGGTTAGATGCATGCCTAGGTATGTTTTTTGTGGCTATGGTAAAGGAGATTCCATTCTTGATTTCATTCTCAGCTTAAGGTGGTGTACAGAAATGCTACTATTTTTGTATATTGATTGTATGCTGAAGCTTTACTGAAGTTGTTTATCAGGTCTAGGAGACTTTTGGTGGAGTCTTTAAGGGTTTTCTGGGTATAGAATCACATTGTCAGAGAAGAGAGATAATCTGAATAGCTCTTTTCCTATTTGGATGCCTTTTATTTCTTTCTCTTGCCTGACTGCTTTGGCTAGTACTTCCAGTACTATGCTGAATAGGAGTGGTAAGGGTGGGCAACCTTGTCTTCTTCCACTTCTTAAGGGGAATGCTTCTAGCTTTTGCCTATTCAGTATGATGTTGGCTGTGGGTTTGTCATAGATGATTTTTATTATTTTGAGGTATGTTACTTCAATGCCTAGTTTCTCAAGGGTTTTTATCATGAAAGGATTTTACCAAAAGATTTTTCTGCATCTATTGAGATTATCATATGGTTTTGTTTTTAATTGAGTTTATGTGGTTACTATACAAGGCAACCATCCCCAGCACACAGTCATTAGACTTTCCAAGGTCAATGTGAATGGAAAAATCTCAAAGGCAGCTAGAGAAAAGGGAAGTATCACCTATAAAAGGAACCCCACCAAAAGAAGTCACAATGGAATGGTGATCTGAAAGATGAATAGGCTTTTGCAACATTTGTGTTGCTGGAGGAGAGTTATGGAGAGGGAAGGTGCAGCTTAGTGAAGAAAGAATAAACTTATTGCTCTTGCGATTCTTAGCGATCTCATCAGCTGTTACAATGTGACTTATTTTTCTAGACTGTATTACTTGATTAATGATATCTAGAATCTTCAAACTCTGTTATACAAGTACATAAAAAGTAGAAGACAACTTTTAAAAAAATCAACAAATGATACACCATAATATTAAATTATTTAGGAGTTGTTCTATGTAACTAGAAACTTAGAAAATCAAAAGGTTTAAGAAAGAATTGAGGTCATTTATGAGGCATCGATTAAGCAGAAAATTTAGAGAAATAAAACACAGCTTAAATACACCACAAATGAAGTCAAGCCCACGTAATTATCTCCTCTTAAGGAAAGGACATATAACATCAGCTGTTACTTACTGGTTCCAAGTAGGTGCCAGACACATTAGTTCCTTTACATATATTGTCTCGGTCCTAAAGTTTTTACAAAAAAATCGTTACCATTTCATAGGTAAAGAACAAGGCTTGGGATAGTTAGTAGTTTGGCCAAAGTTATATGAGATGGTAAGGGAACAGCCAGGAACTGAACCCAGTTCTATTTTCAAACCTCTTCTGGCTGCACATACCATAAGGGTTCATGAAAATATGAAGAACACTGTTAATTAACTTTCAGTTTTCCTTTGGGGATAAATAATGCAAGTTCCAAGTATGCAGCCTTGATAATAGCACTTCATAATTTTTCACATCTCTCAAAATTAAGAATGAAAAATTTAACATAGTACTTTAATAAATATCTGAATGGGAAATGCTAAAGTATATGAGTTCAAAAATAATCATTCCTTTGTTATCAACAGCACTATGTTGTTCATTTATGTTCACCGCAAGAGTTCTATTTTTACTTCTCCTTTCCCTTTTTCTCAACCTCTTACAATTTTATTGCTTGACTTTTATTTTTTTTAATGTCACTGTTTCATTCTGAAAGAGCACTTGAATTTCCCCTTCTATGTGTACCCTAAATACGTAAATGACTTTCCACAGACTTACTTATTTTTCATCTCAGTTGATTTCTCTATAACATTTGCCACTCACCATTTTTATGTTGTTTGAATGATATACCCTCAGGCATTTGTAATTCTATCGTCTTACAGTTTTCCCACATTCTGAATCTTTTCCATACACTCCTTCTTCTTGACCCTATCATCTCTTTGATACCATTTCCCAAGATCCCCTTCCTAGCCCACATCTCATTTCCCCAAAATATCATTCCTGGACCACTTACATTCCCTCAACTACAATTAATACTCATACTTGAAACTCGTAAGTCTGCAATTCTGGTTCGGATCCCTCCGTAGAGCTCTAGGCACACATTCCCAATTGCCTTCTGGACATTTCTTCCTGGATATCTCATAACCTCCTCCAACCTTATCTCATCCAACCTTATTCTTACACCCAGCTACCCTCTGCAAATTTGCTAATCTCCTTGGGAGGCCGAGACGGGTGGATCACATAAGTTCAGGAGTTTGAGACCAGCCTCCCCAAAATGGCAAAATCCCGTCTCTACTAAAAATACAAAAATTAGCCAGGCGTGGTTACGGGCGCCTGTAATCCCAGCTATTTGGGAGGCTGAGGCAGAAGAATTGCTTGAACCCAGGAGGCAGAGGTTGCAGTGAACCAAGATTCATACCACTGTACTACAGCCTGGATGACAAAAGCGAAACTCCATCTAAAAAAAAAAATTGTTAATCTGCCTGTTTTCCCAGTAACTCAATCAGTAGTTGGATACTTGGGAAGTGCAACAAATTATTCATAGCGTACACGGCTAATTATCCACCAAGCCTTGTTGATACCTTTTCTTAAAAGTTCCTTGAAGTTATCTTCTATGTTTTCTATTTTAAAGAAGCTCATATTTAAACTGTATTTTTAAAAAAAAAAAAAAAAAGGAGGAGGAAAGAAATGAAACAAAGAGGCAAAAAAGGAAACAGAATGCTCACATTACTTTTATCCATTGTTTTCTCACATCAAAAGGAATCGCTGGTAGAAAATAATATTAATTTTAATTTAAAAAATATATACATAAATACACGTTAAATCCTCTGATAAAATCCTTTAGGGCACCAAACAGTGTTACCTCTATGATAATGAAATCTCTCCTCCTTGTTTAATCAGAGGTTAATTCCTTTTGAATGAATATGTCCTAAATACATGCTGAAATTTTTAAGTTTTTGCTCATTGCTATTCCAAATACTGTTTCCTATGTAGTTGGTTAGTCTCTGGAACTCAAATACAAGAAAGCTCAAACAAGAGAGCTCAAATAAGCTGTTATCAATTAAGCAAATTAAGTATTTGATCTGAAATTAATAGCTGACATTCTCATCAGTGGATCATCTTATAAGTGGAATATATAATAGAAACATTCAATTAGGCCTTTATGAGAAAATCTGGCTGGATTTCTCCAGATACTGGCTGGAAAGAAGAGAGTTTACCTCTTTCCTGGGTTTACGAAAATCACTGCAACTATTTCTGCCCCTTTTCTGCCTTCTGCAAATTTTCCCACCTGGCGTTGTTCCTCAGAGGTAGCTCAAACAATGCAGGCACCATAACAATATCCACTGTAAGTAGAATAAATCTGAAATACTCTCTATTTTTACTTCTTTCTTGTACAAAAAAAAATATTGATGAATAAGGCACTTATATTGCAATAAGAGTCTCAAGAAAAGTCCAGAAAGAATCAAGTCACTAACAACTCCAACTGTTAACATGATGATGGACAGACTTTGGGCTGAAATAGAGCTTTCAGCTTTATCAATTCATATATCTTCAACACATTTTCAGTAAACACTACTGACGATAAACGTGAAGGGGCTGTCAAAATAGTGAAAAACAGCAGTGTGCAGAGAAAAACCTAAAAACTGAACTCTTAATTTACTGAAGTAACCATGCAGTAAAAAGGATGATAGTGTCAGTATCCCTAACAAGGTGAGTGAGGGGAGGAAACAATTATTTCCTATTTGCCTCTTCAGAAACCAAAAATGTTAATAATAAGTACATCTGAGGTGCACCTAAGAATTGTGAATGAGTCAAATTCCAAAACTAACACAATTTGCCTCTGAGAAAGGTATACAAAGCCTTCCTCAAAAATCTAGGTAGGCTGGGTATTGTAGTTTATGCCTGCAATCTTAACACTTTGGGAGGCTGAGGCAGAAAGATCTCTTGAGTTTAGTTTGAGACCTGACTAAGAAACAAAACAAGAACCAGTCTCCACAAAAAGAGTAAAACAATTAGCCAGGTATGGTGGTATACAGCTACTCGGGAGGTTAGGGGGGAAAACACCTGAGCCCAGGAATTCAACGCTATAGTGAATTAAGATGGTGCCACTGTCCTTTAGCCTGGGCCACAGAGCAACACCATCTCTTCAAACCAACCAACCAATCCCCCAAAACCAGGTGGTTTCCAGGTTAGCAAGACTTGATTATAGCCCTTATATGTTTAAATATATCTAACGAAAGAAGATGTCAATCAAAAGGGGTCTGCCAAGGAGGCGGAGAAGAGTCAAAGAGGCACATATGGGCAGAGCCAGTGGGAGAGACAGCCTGGGTTAGTGGGTAATGGACTGTGTAATTTCCAGGACCACACTAAGACTACCTTACTGTGAAGCAGGTATGTTAGAGTCTCAGAGTCCTGTTTCACTAAATATGCCCTCCCTTCTGCCTCTACCTGATACCAGGTATTCCATGGAGATCTATGATTCTGACTGGGTTTTCCACATAGGTTTACAGTATGTTGGTCATATGGAGTTGAATAACTTGTTTTTTTTCCTCCTTGTAAGTGATCTGATAATGATGTGGCCTTCCATGTCTGTGTCTCAGTCTGTTTGGATGCTATAACACAGCACCATAAACTGAGTGGCTTATAAACAGAATATATTTATTTCTTACAATTCCAGGATAAAGGTGGCAGCAGATCTGGTGTCTGGTAAGGGCTTGTTTCTTGGTTCATTGATAGTGCCTTCTCACTGTTTCCTTACATGGTAGAAGGGATGAGTTAGCTTTCCGGGGTCTCTTTAACAAAGGACCCCAATATGAGTGCAGAGCCCTCACGACTTAATCACCTCACAAAGGCCCCACCTCCTAATATCATCATCTTGTGGGGGTTAAGATTTCAACATATGAATTTTGGGAAGCACAAACATTTAGACCCTAACAACCTGCCACCAAGAAGTGAACGGGATCAACATGGGGGCATGAGGATGGATGTCAGTCTTGCAGCTACTCTAGGGCCCACTGCAGACTGAGAAAGAGACATACTGGCTTTACATAGCAGACTTGGAAGCTCAGTTTTGGGTCTGTGTCTGAGAGATGGCTTGGCATTTCTGACAGCACTAACAAAATCAGATTTCTCAGTATGTAAGATTGAAGGTCACAAGTTTCCCACTGTAATTTTTAGTTTTTCCCTTAGAGAGCCCTCTCAATGAGCCCAAGAGGTAAAAAGAACCTGAATATTTCCATTTTAGAAACAGCAACCGGCTGCTCACCTAATCTGCTGCTGCTTCTTTCTGTGCACATAGCTCTACTGTGTTTTCTAAAGGCTCGTGTGATTAGATGGAGCCATAGGACCAAATTCTAGCCAATGGAATGTGAATGAAAGTGATACATGTCACCTGCAGGCCTGATCATAAAACCTGCCATGCATGAACCGCCATGCTATTTTTTCATCCTGCCGGCAATGTCAATGTACAGGGAAACCATGGAAGGTCAAAGTTGAAGTTAACTGGCTGGCAGAAGCCTGAAAAACTGTGTGAGCCTGAGACACCTCCAATCCAAATTATAATGGATTGTCACTCATGTGAAAACTAAACATCTACTGCTTTAGGCCATGGAAACACTGGGTTTCATCTGTTATAGCAATTGGTCAACCTCGCTATACACTGTAACAATGAAACAAAAAGATCATTTTGGTAGACATACACATTTTATTCTCAAGAAGAAAAGTTTCTCAAGGTAAGAATATGTTAGTCTCACATACTCGTATTCTGAAATTCATATTTTCTCTCATGTTCTTTTCTTCTCACCTCCCCTCCAGTTCACACTATCACTCTAATCCTTTGAACTGGCTCTTTTGACTGGTTTCCTCTCATTTTCTATTTTATTACTTTTGTCTTACTGTCTTTCACATGGGTGGCACATGGTTCAAGAAAAAAACTCAAAGGTCAATTTCATTTATAGTATAGTAATCATTACTATTATTGTTTCTCCCATCAGTCTCACTGGACTTCACTCTTTGGAAACCAGTAGGCAAGACTTGATAATTAACAGTACACCAATTTTCAAACTCAGTATTCCAACCTCGAATGAATGACAAGTCAGAAGTAAACACTATTGTTGGAAGGGTAATTGAGTTAAAATGCGTTAGTGTGTTCCCTACAGAAGAACAAAGAGCTCCTATTAACTTTCCTGTGGTCATTCGGGACTGGGAAG